TGCAGTCTACCAGGGCTAGAGGTCCGCAATTCCCTGCTTATAATTGAGTCTTTGCAGGGAAACTTCTATTTCTGTACCGATTGTGAAGAATAAAGTTGAAAGGTGGATTGCAATGGCATGTCACAGCTGCAAACCATTTCGGGGGCCTCAGAAGAAAATGCAGGGCCAGATGGGAACCCCTGCCCCAACCATGGGAAAACTTTGGGAATCAGGCTGACAAAGCCCCTGCAGTGTCAGCTGATGAAAAGGTGCAGACAGCACGGTGTCCAGTCCGGCTCGCTCCTGGCGGCCCACGAGTGCAGACTCACCTCTGTCAACAGCCAGCCAAGCCTGCCGTCCGGGCCTCTCTGGGTGGGTGGGGATCACCACCGGGCCTCCGCCATAGACACTAGGCATCACTTGTTCCTGCCAGGGGGTCACTGAGGGCCCGCTACATGCCAGGCGCCGTGCCTGACCTTGCAGCCGCCCCGGCACGGTAGAAAGGGCTCCCCATGACATTCTCTAGGAAGTTCTTTGAAGGGAAGGAGGCGTGAGCCACCACAGAGGTACCCACAGCCCAACCAAGGGCAGACAGTGGGGTGTCACTCAGGGGCCCCAACCCGTACCCCAGCAGCACCCCTTCCTCAGGCAGGCCCTGCTAAAGTACGTGAACAAAACTGGGCAGGTTATTCTAGACAATTCGAGAGGTCGAGTCAACTCCCGGCAACACTAGGCAGCTCATGCCCCAGTGGGAGAGTGGGTGATCGCTGAGTGCATTCCAGTGGGGCCCTCCACCCTGACACCAGCCCGGCCGACTCCTGGCTGTGGGGCGGGGGCGGGGGTGGGGTGGGGGGTAGGGCCCGCACAGGGCTGGCTGTAGGCACATTCCCCACTCCCCTTTGCACCCCACTTTGGGAACCATCCTATCTCTTGGAGGCCCATCCTTTGCCCTTCGTCATGAGGTCTGTGGACCACGCTCCTTCCACCCTGGGCGCTCTAACTACCCCAGCTGGGGATTTGGGGGTGGAGAGTGTCAGCTGCTTGCTGTTCCGGGGTGGCAGGCCCAGCCAGGGCAGGCCCTTAGGGTGAGGACGCACTGGACAAACCTTTGCATTTGGGCTGTGAGCTTGGCCGAGCTGGCCTGCTCTGCCTGGAGGGGGGGTGTTCCTTCCAGCACAGAGCCCCCCAGTCTGTCCTCCCGGCCACCCTGTGAAGCATGAGTCTGTGAGCAGGACCCGGAGTCAGAAAGCCCGGCGTCTGGCACCAGCCCAGCCATGTTTTGATGACCGATGCGTTCCCACCCTGGGCGGTGCCTCCGGGCAGAGCGAGGTGAAGGCAGTGGGGGCAACGGTGCACAGCCCATGGCGGTGGCTGGCAGGCAGCATTCGATGCCAGGCTCAGGCACAGTATGTGCGATGTGTGGTTGCCATCCAGATCCAGGTGCTGGGAGCTGCCTGGATCTTGAACACCTGCAGGCACCTCTGGGTGACCACGGGATGTGGGTGTTCTCCCAGATTTGCTCATCAGATCAGCGCTGGGTTGCTTGTTGAACTTGCCAGCCTTGTGCTGTCACTGGGGTGGGGGCGGTCAGGCGTGCATGCCCCAGAGTAGAAGCCAGAAAACTCCAGCACTCACTCCAGTTGCTCTTCTGAGACGTGTCTGGGGACAGGAGGAAGGAACATTTTGACATGTTAACCCTTACTCTGCCTCCCTATGGCAGCCCTCTGCCTGGTGCTGACTCAGGTACAGGGAGGAATGTCACTTGGCCCAGAAAGGGGAGGGTCCAGGGCAAGTCTCCGGCCCCCCGCGGGCGCCCCCCCACCCCACCCCACCCCCGCCTCACTGAACAGGCCTGCCCCCACCCTTGCTGAAAAGCCTCGGGTGCACTGTGCTTGCCTCACAATATGCAGGACACAGGAGGCAGGGCCAGAGCCCAGTACCAGGAGCATCACGGGCACCAGTGTCCCCCAGAACTGAGAACAGGAGGCAGCACAGGGACCAGTGTCCCCCAGAACCTAGAGTGTGGGGCAGCACAGGGACCAGTGTCCCCCAGAACCTAGAGTG